CTTTTTTTAATTAAAACCTCTCGTTTTATCAATTAAAATTTGATAAAATAATACTAATATTGAGAATATCTTTCGTAATGTTATTTTTGAATAAGTAATGTAAAGAATGTACAGATTAATAAACGGGTTTTGGAATCGATATATTCTTGACAAATTACAAACGTCATAATTTTTATTGTGCGAGTTTTAGTGTAATCACACACATTTTTATATTATAATAATAACAAAATTATATATTTGACAGGAGCTTGTTTGTGTCGATTTTCTAAATGCGATATCTGAATAGAAATTTATGATTGACAAACCGGGGATTAAATTAAAGCTAGAAATATCTAATTAAATATTCTAATTTTATTCTGAATGATAACTAAGTTCTAATAATGGTTCTATTTATATTTAATGTATTCGTGTCTTGTCAAAATATGTCATTAAACGTCGAAGTCTAGTCTCCTTGGGTGATCAATAAGCGATAAAATTGTTAATTGCTATTAATTATCATGACATTGTTTAATCGAGAATAAACTTTATACAGTTTAATCTTAAAATCTTAAATTCCTTTATTTTTTAAATAATAATTCTCCTGCAACTATCGAAAAATTATCTCTCTTACGTAGATTTTAATATACTAATTGAAAAGACAATTGATAATTTCTGATTTATATTTATAACCAGTTTATATCACAGGTTGATATCTGTTTCTTTTCTTTACAACCGTGCTGTATATTTTCCCAGTATTTGAGGCTGAGTTCTCTTAGGGGATTTCATATCGCGGAGCATGTAATAAAATTCTGTCCCACTCTCCCTTCTTCCTCCTGTCCAACTCTCGATGTAATAAGCAGTAATAAAACGTTTTCACCGTCGCGACTGGTCGCGTGCAAGCTTGTTTATTTTTACACGCCAGCATTTAACATTAACCATATTTACGTGTATGTTACGAAATATCATATATCGCGGATAATTATAATTTTATTGTTACACTAATTATACGTAAGCATCCCTTATTTAAGATAATATTTATAATTTTTAGATATAAAATCAAAAAGTTTTACATTACTTTGCCAAAAATGTATGTTATAGTACCTATTATTACCTGCGAATATTCTTGTTAGAAAATACTTTAGAAAATAGCAATGATTTGTTTATTTATTATAACATATAATTTTGATAGTTATTTTAATCGAGGATAAATTAAATTAGGTCTTGTTTTTAATCGAAAATATTTTCTTTGAGATTCAGAATCTTTACGCAGTTTTTAAGCTTTTTCTGCAGGCTCTCTCTTCGGTTATTATTATTATTACAGTTAATTATCGGATATTTTATATTGGGTAGACGATGATTAGTGGAACGAAGCCGCCCAGTTCCTAATCTCCGTCTGGAACAAGCGCGAGTCTGGTGCCACACTGGGAGCTGTCTGGTAGTGGGGACACGTAAAGGGACAAGAGAGGGGGGTGACAGAATGATGCTTAGAACTGGAAGGGGGTCAGAACCAGTGGAGGGAGACTATCCGTCCATGGTCGTAGGAGAAGGTTGTGGTAGGTCGCGATGGCAAAATGGCCGGTCTGGATGGTTACCCGGGAAACCATCTGGGCGGTGCTTGGCGTTCACCAGAGGCGGAGCATGATGGCCTTGGCGGCCATTATGGTCCTCCGCTCCGAGAGATATCGCCACCTGGTGAGCGTCCCCCGAAACCAGGGGTTAAAACCAGCCTTGGTACCGGGAATATTGCCGCCACCCCCCGGGACCGTCTGGGACACGAATGGGCGAGAGATCGCGCTTGCATTCTGGGATAGTTCTCACACTCTGAAACAGTTCTGGGATCCATGTCATGTGTTCTGAAATGATTTGTTCTGGCCATTCCGTTCGTTCGAGTATAGCTTCTCTCAGAGACACGATATATTACTGATGCGAAAATTATCCTGACAGATTGTATAAACTGTACTTGACTTATTTATGTAGTTGTCAGCAAATTGCTGAAAGTCCATTGGGCCATGCTAGAAGAAGGAAGAACAAGGTTCTTCCTGCTGTCATCGATTATGATCGATAGATTAGAGTGTATCAATGAATCATATTAACAGCACTTCTTCTTTAATTATGTAACGCTTTCAGGGATAGCTGGTTGAAGTTACTTTCACTGTTTTAAAAAAAATGAGGGCAATTATCCTGTCATTGACTCTGCCCAATCGGCAGAGTTTTATTGATGGATTTATATTGGCTATTCTCTTTCCCCCCTTCTCTAAAAAAAAAAAAAAATGACTGTAATTATTACATTGTAGTAATTCACTAGGTTGTACTTCAAAGTAGTCAGAATTAAATTACATATAAAGTAGTAGTTAATGTTAAAATAATTTTGGAACGGATTCTAATTTAAAGAATTAAAGATGCGACAAAAGAAACTATTTTTCTAGCAATCGAGATTTATGGTTTGCAGCAAAGAGTTTAGTTTAATGAACTATGTAAAAACACTATTTAAATCAAACTCTGGCGAAATAATAAAAGCGATGATACGCGTAACATGATTTTCGAAATTCTCATGCTAAAGCGATTCTCGCGATTTTTTAGATTGCCATTAATATTGGCCACATGCTTCGTCGTTGCAACGCAACGAATTTTTGATAAACCGGGAAGGGATTCGTCGCGCCTTGGATTACGTCGTCCGGGCGGCATCCCCGATGCGCGCGTAATCCGGACGCGCGGCACACGGAAATATAGAAGAGAGATTCCTGCGAAAACGGATTACAATTCCTGACATAGCCCCGGCGGTGTGCCGAATGGCTGGCCCCCACGATCCGAATTGCGTGCCAGCAGCAGCGCCATTAAACGCGGCATCGAGCGAGCGTATATATGGGCGAGCGAGCGCGCGCGAGATTACGTTATTATTAATCATCCGTGTATCGTTTACGCGGCGCGTCCCTCGCCTATTATTAACGGCCGTTGCGCCCCGTAGATATTTACTTATTAATTAACCGATTAACGTTTCGCAATTATGCGCCGTCACGCTCCACTCGCGTACCCGGAAACCGCGCCTCGCTCGTACCTCATCTCGCGTTTCTTGCGCGTTCGATTAATAACGGCCCGCGAATTATTATTGATGCCGGCGATGTGCCACGGTGTGCCGTATTCGGAGTCTGGCCAACCCGCCATTTCCAGACACATCAATTAATTTCCCGCGGTCATACAAATGCAAATTTATGCACCGCGCCGTTTCTTCTTTCGATCACGGAAAGGCAAAGCGGCATCGATCGACGCGTTAATAGATAGTTACAAAATTATTAAATATACCACCGGCGCCGGTAAATTGAGTCATCGCGCGTCTCTATTCATTGCTTGCAGAATATCTCTAATATTTTTTACAGAATAATTTCATTTCAATGATATTTTACATATTCAATGCATTCCTTTTTACGTTTTTACACATATCACTCTTTCTTTTGTATTTAAAACTTTTGGCATGTTTTAATATCGTGTGTTTCGGTACGCGATATAATTACAACGCAACTGCGAGTCATGCACGATTTTGGTCAGACACACCGAATTGAATATTTGCGGTCACGGCGCGGCGATTTCTACGAGCGCGCTCCACTCGTAAATGCTGATTTATCAATTAATTGGCTGACGCACCGTGACCACACCGAGTCACGCTCTCCCCTTACGATTACGATGACCCCAGTGCGCCAGACAGACGAGGGGGATGGCATGATGTTCCGAGGGAATTTAGAACCGGATACTCTTCGATGCGAAGTATCAGTCTATAAATATATATAGATTCTTTACATTCTTGATCCGTGCACGACAAGGATTCTCATCGATATCGCGAACAGGCATTTTCATAATGTCGACATAATGCTTTATAATTGCACTACTTTATTTAAATGATTAAAGATACAGACCGTTCAAGCTTTAAAAGTTCTGCGTGGCGAAGGCGTTAATATTTTATCTTTCAATTATTTTACAGGACTTAATGTTAACAAAAAAAAACTTGAAATTTTGATACGTTCTAACTAAATACACATGTACTTTACGTCGACGTTTGAAGAAGATCGAAAACAGGAGGCGTTTATTTAACTTCATAGATTAAAGTAGAACTTTCGCAGAGGACATGGAGCACGAAATGACTATCCGTCATTTGATTCGGTGAATCGGCTCTCCGCGCCCGAATCCCGGTCGCGTTGACAAAGCCCGAGAGTAAACCGAGCGTGCGGATCCTGCTATATCCCGCCTCCTGACCCCCTCGTTATCCTGGCAGCCAGCACTTTCTGCTCCAGGCCAGCGGTTATGAATAATACATATTAATTGCGCCATTCCCATGTACCGCCCTCGTTCCCTCTGTATAAATATGTACGGCATAGTCGAGACACCATCGACGCGCCGCCGATTTGTTGCGTGCGTTTCTGGAGGAACGCGAACGAGAGGCTCGATAAGCGCCCATGAATATCGCGATAATAGGCACAGATAATTAACTGGGTGGTTGTTACGCGGATAGCTGAAAAGGTCCCGCCTTCACCCGTGCATCGTTCGCATGATAACCGCTCGTTGTCGAGAACGGTTTAATCCTTAACCCCTCGTGATTCCGTGGAATAAGTAGAACCTACGCAGATTTCATTTTATTATGTAGCACCTGCTATTTTGAAAGTCTCTAATTAACAACAGGATACGCCGTTATGTTACAACTAAAAAACAATCGCGACTACGCGGAGAATTGTTCTCGCAATGCTGTTTAATTGAGGGAATTATTCGCGAAATGACTCTTCAATCAAATCTCTCACAGAGATACTTTCATAGCTGCAAAATATTATTAAAATATTAATTATTATGATTAGGAAAAAAAGATATGGCACATTGATTTATTTCAATGTTACATCAATCAATATTATCAATTTACTTTCGTTAAGAGCCGAAATGTCACAGAGACTTTGTTGCCGAAACTTCCCGCCTAGTCGCTTTAATTACTTTAATATATTACCGTACGCACTTAATATAAGCGTTCGATCATATGCTTGCAGATCCTCGTAGAGTACGACGACGTAGAGTGGCAAAGGAGGGAGTGGCTGTCACCACACAGGGATGCCGTATTCTCCTTCTTTCTCATTGAACGAGGTCTCTACTGGGCCGAACGACCTGACCCTAGGCACGCCAGTCTCATCCCCATCGATCATCACAATCACGCGAACAATAACCACCATCAGCACCGCATTAACGGGAAACCGCTCAGGGGCGCCACGGCGGTTGCCGACACCGTTGCTTGGCCGGCTCTCGTAAGTATAAATAAACGGTATCTATTTTTCATGGATGTGTCTACGAATCCTTGCTTCGCTTTTTCTCAATGAAAAAAAATATCGAAACGTCATTGGTTTTTTTGCATCAGTGTTTTATCATTTCATATTTTGCGAATTAAATTAAGTAAGGAGTACCTAAAAATCTAAAAGGAGAATTAAAGATTGAATATTAAAAAATAAAAAGAGATGGTTTTTCTTCGAATCTTTGCTAAACGTGATTCGAAAATAAAAAACAAGTATTTTTTAAATTTATATTACGAATTACCGAACTTTTTTGCCTTGTTCAGAGATGTAAATTATAAAAATTATACGATATTGTTGAGAGAATATTTTTATCACAATTCACATCGCATGATATACGCATGCAATATTCACGCGTGAAATTCCGGCAATAATCTGTCACGTGTGATTTCCTTCGAATTATACAGAGAAGCTGTCACGATTTACCATTTTTAATGCAGATCTCTCATATTTAACGATGATAATTGAGGAATGCTCGCGATCCCATTCGAATATTAATCAGTTCGTGGTTAATTAATGAAATACTCGATTCTCCATTCCCGTTGAATAAATTTTACAATCGACACAATTCAACCGCTATACAAAACACGGACTGTCGCGTTTTATTGGCTCGGCGCTCTTTTTCTGGTTGAAATTTTAATGCTTTGATTAAGCGAGCTTAATTATTTTGCGAAAACTCAACGACGCAAAAATAATTACATTTATATAATTTAAAATTTTTGCTTTCTGTGCAGTTTTTTTTGTAAAGGAATACTAAAAGGTCTAAATGCAGCATTGTATAAACATTGCTAAAACATCACTCCTGTGTTGTGATGTTTTAATATTTTTATTTTTTTTTCTGTTAAATAGTAATTAATTTTGCACTTGAATATATCTGATGTTATATTGAAAATTGTTACTCTATATAAATAGATTATATTTATATTCTTTCATAAAATATAATATGCGAGTGCGTTTTTAGATAACTTTTATTTAACTCTTTGTTCTGTGCAACAAGCTAATTCTATTTTTATTAAACAATTGGTAGTGTTTTTTTTATTAATTGGAAAATTTTAACGTAATTACTCATTAATAAATAAATTAAATAGGTGTTTTTTAAAAAGCTTAGTGCGAATTTTTGTTATTATATTATATCTTTTATATGACAGTTTTTTTTAACGTTTTTGACGTAAATTGAATTAGTTAAATGCAGCATGTGCACGTTGAACGATAGAAATATACTGCATGAGTCGGACAAAAATATAATTTTATGCGGAATAATACATATATATAGGTACATATATGATCGAAAATCGCGTGTGTTTGCTTCTAGACCTTCTATCCTCTCGTGGCACGCGCCGAGTTGCACGAAGACGCTATGCCGATCGAGTTTATGCAAGATCGCAAATTGGACTTCATCGACTATTCAAAGCTGAAGCCGTTCACTGTAAGTATCACAAATTTCAATTGTTTAAGATCAACCGCTCGATAAGCCGTAACGCCATGATGCATAATGCAGCGAATGATTGTTGACTTTGTAATTATCTCTGTGATCCGTGTAATATAAAGTGATAAATTATATTTGCAAACAAATACTGACGTAGCGTTAATGTTTAATTATCATATAGCTATAAATCAATGTTGTTGACATTTGTTTCAACAGATTCATTACTTTCATCAATTTTTACTTCTTTTTTTTTGTATTAATTCTAAATGGTCATTATTCATAATTAATCCGACATTAAAATCCTTTTCACGCCTTAATACGACACCTGAAAGTTAAATACGTGCGATGAAAATAGCGTTTCCATTTAGTTAGAAAGAATTGATGAACCAACAGTATTCTTTAATTACTTGTCCGTGCGGGTGCGTAATTTTTATGGAGAACGCGAAAGAAAAAAGAACGTAAAAACGTTGCGCGCGCGACGGAGAAGCACGGCGACAATTTCCGCTGACCAAGGTATACATTGACGCGCAATCCGTTATCTCGTTTCCCCCCTAATTTCCTCGTCGCCGCGGCGTCCTGCACATTTCACGCGCGAGATGCGATAGAGGATCCCGAAAACGATTAAGAGCCCGCGCGAGCCGAGCGGAGTTCGGTCGGCGAAACGTGGTGTAGCGCGTCGCAGCGGCCACTTCCGCTTTACGACTGGAAACTTACTTCGTTAGAGGGCCTCGCTGGGAACTTAGTTAGGGAACAAGTTCCGACGCCATTGGCGCATCCGACACCCCTCCGGGGGCAACGGATGCGAATGCGAGAGCGCGCGTCTCTTCCTCCTGTCGGAGTCGTACCGCTGCTGTAAGTAATCTTTCACGGAGGCTCGTTGTCCAACTTCTCGTAAGAGCTACGCGGAAGAGTCGACCGAACTTGCCCGGGTGGAAGGAGGCGGCCGAACTTTGACTCGAGTTCCCCGCCGTTTCACTTTCGCGTGTATGCAGGAATTGTGTTCGCGAGCGTGGCAGAACTTTTCGCGGGTTATTTCTCCCTGAACTGCGGAAATTTTATTATTTCGCGATAACGCGAATGAAACTGGAAAAAATTTATTAGCGGAAAGTTACATGTTTAAATTATTTAGGGCAAGCACGTGTCGAAACGTTACACGTGTCGAAACGTTTTTGCAAAAGGAATTGCAACTATTAACACAATTTGATGTGTCACTTACAATCGTGTAAATTTATTCGTTAATATATCGCTGTTACAACAGTAAAATTTTATATTGTGTTTTATATTATTTTTTTATATATAACTAGATTTTTTAGTTTAACTTTTATTTTATTAGTTAATTTATTTTGTCATGAATATTCTACTAAATTTTAACACTTTATCAATGAATTATCAAATGTTAAGTAACGCGTTTGCCTATTTCTTTCTTTGTTTATTTTCTTTCGTAATTTATTATAATACAATTTTCATCGGCTGTTCATAAAAAACGCGAGAGATAAAATCGCTCAAGCGTCACCGCGCGAACATACGATTAGCAAATTCCGATATTAGCCTTTGACCTTCGATTGAACGCCGTGTTTTTCCATCCAATTTGAGGCAGTTGTAATGAATGAGCATGCAGAGAAATTTCCACGCTTCTCGTCGGGGAAGCTCCGAGATGGGGAAACACGAGACACTCGACCGAGATAATAAATCGATCAGTCCGATCCCCTCTTTGCGAGGGCCGCGAGGGGTGAAAGGGCAGGGAGTACGCGCGCGCGCACGTATCGCTTTTTGCCGCTGTGTGCGTGCGGCCACTTCGGAAGTTACCGCCGCACTTCTGTTAGGGGGAAGGAAGAGTTGAGCGAGGTGGAATTGTTTCCAAGTAATTAAACTACCGGGAAAACTTTTACCGTTAAAACTTTTTCCCGCTTCGGCGGCGGGCGGTATATACGAGGCCCGTAAGTCGTTTACGTGGCGGCGGGAACTTTTCAGTCCGGCGGTCAGGTTCAGGTGCGTCTTCACCTTTCCAGATCCGCCCTTTATCCTGCCGCGTGCGACTTTAGTCCATCTCAAACAAGACGTATTACCTTCGTGATCTGCGCGCCAAGGATGCCCTCTGAGAAATCCCGTCTACGTTATATAGCACTGCAGACAACAGTTTCGTTCCTTCGCCGGAGAGATTTACGATCGAGTTTAGCATCTTGAATCGAGATAATATTTTACGCGCCGATATCTATAATAAACTCAAAACAGTCGCATTTTTTTTAAATCTGCAATTTCTTGCGGTTCGAGAAAGTGGCTTGCACGATGCCAGCGTCACTTTGAATTCTTTCCGCGGCGATAAATCGGTCCTCGTTCGAACAACAAATCTCTTTCGAGCGGCCATAGATCTTTACTTTCAGCTGCGGTACACTCGCGTCTCGTCGAGAAAAGGAGAAAGTCGGCGGTTTAAGTGCAAGGGGAGAAAAAGGAATACAAGAGGGACGAAGAAACGACGTGGACAACGAGGGGCCAAATTCGTCCGGGGGGCGGGAAGGGAGGGGAGCAAAGTTGCGCGCGAGTGTGCTGACCCTGAACTATAAATGCGACGGGTTCTTTCTCCCCGCTGCATCGCATACCTAACACGCGTGCACTTGCGCGCGACGTCGTTCTGAGACGTCGCTCTCGCTCTCGCTTTGCTCTCGTTGCCGTGCAGGGTGCCGTAGACGGATGCAATCTTTACACCCCTGCACTTTATATCCTTTGATAATGTATTAAACATTTTTATATGCAACGGAAATATATATTAATAGCATACGTTATTTTATAAATTTTATCTCGCAGTCAGAGAAAAAATAGTTGTACGTCATCGATTTAAGAGCAGTGGATTTGAAATAGACTAAGAAAAGGCTCTAAGACTTTCACAGAGAGTGTAAAAGCGAATAAAGAGTTTATACATATAGGATGATTCGAGGAAAAGATTAGGAAATTTTTGTTGTCAGTAAATTCTAAAGCTGCAATCATTTATATAATTTGTTTGAGAATAGTTTCGCACTCACGCGGTCGTCTCTGCTTGCTGCCGGCTATGTCGACTGTTAGTTCGACGACTCGCATCGTAACGCGCGTGCACGATCATCGAAGCACGTTGGAGAACGGCCAAAACGAGGCGCCAACATATTCCCGTTCTGTCTAACGGTCCTTGGCCAAGTGCGACGACGCTGCATTATACCCTCGGCCTCCCTTCACGCGATCCTCACCGGAATCCTACCTGAAAGATGCTCGCTCAGTGCGATGAGAAATATGTTATTCCTTTTACCTTTGGAGATCTCTGTTTGTCTAAATACGTCATTATTCGAGCGGCTTGGTCATTACATAAAATTCTTAATTGAATTTCGTGTAATAATTTTAGTAAAATGATGAGTTTTTACAACAAACTTTATAATAAATTATCAGCTTTGTTTTGAGAAATTTCGAAATATCGAAATATTTGAATTTGAGGAATTCGTTATTAAAATATTCTGGGGCATTTTATCATGCCAAGGGCTTGATGCGTTGAAGCTTAACTTTCTACAAACTCAGCTTATATTCATGTAATACCTATATAGTTACGAAGCAGTTCCGTTAATAAATGATGTTATAACGTACCTGCTGTGCGTGTATCGGTCATCGACAGAATTAAATACAAAACGATTAAGTATCGTATCGATAAGACGAATGGCAGAGTTGTATCGAGGAATATATATCGGAGTTTAACGTGTCCATTACTGAGTCAATTTTGTCGAATAGAATTTTCCCAGGCACCGGTGTAAAAAGTAATTACACGCGAGTAATTTTATTGCGCGAATACACAAACGGTACACGCGCATCTGTCTGTGCCTTCAATTTAAACTTTACGACAGTCACCTGCCTATAGTCATTTTATCTGCCGGCGCTTTGGTCCCGTGATTGTACGGTGAACGCATCGCGATTAATGGCGGACGCGTTCTTAATTAAGGAACTCCTTAATTAATTAGCTGCCGCGTGGCAACTGCTAACGAGTACCCGTGGCGCGTGATAGAACGATAACAGCCGACACCGGCGTGGGCCGTGATTTTCCGACCGATAATTTTCATTCCGAGAGGTATTTGCTTAATAATTGGAGAATTCGCTCAAAAAGAAGCTCGCGAGCTATTTTGATTAATATTAAAATCTGTACGATTTAAAAGAAACGCATTATGAAATATGCATTACCGAAAATGTGTACCTCTGAAGATAATATTACAAGTAGAAAGCGCGATACTATATAGATGATACAATGTATGATTAATATATTTTCCATTTTTATATTTTCTGGGAATTAAATTGCACGTAACATAATAATGTACTTGAAATCTGTATAATTTAAAAAATATCTTATATATATAACTGTATAGAGAGATATAAATATATATTGCCAACGATCGAGAGCTTTTGCAACATTAATATTTTATAACATTAATTTTGACTTTCATTATTATGTAATTATGGAAACAGGAGCATTTTGATTACTATTATTTTTCCGAACATTACTTCTCTGCCTCTGGCGATGGAAAATAATTAATGAGATATGAAACTGAGTTTCAAGAAATAAAGATAATGATCTTTTGACTTCTGTAAAACAGATATTTCTGAGTTTAAAATGAAAATAGATATTTCTTATGATATTACACAATCTTCAAAATTTACCATGAGGAGGACAATACCCGTTTCGTTGATATGCTAATTTAGCTCAAGAATTTTATAAGAAATATATATATATATATATCTATGGACGAAATTCGCTTGAAAATTGCATTGCGGCCGTAGAGAGGATTAAAATTACGAGAATACGATCGGAGATGGGATTTGGTCGGCTCGCTTTGAAAGAGAGGAAACCTCTGGAAACGGTCGCTCTCTCGGAGAGTAAGCGGTCCATAACGTGGGGTCGTAATCCATAAATAAGGAACGAATGTTCGGTGTCTCTCGGTCCCCGCGCCGAATGACATCGCCGAATCGAATTATCGTGCGTACGAATAATTCAACGACCGTCAGATAATCTCGTTGACCCCAAGACCGATCCCGGTCGTTCATTTTCACGTTATAATTGGTGCGCGACGTGTCCAGACGGACGTTATTTCTCGACTCGATATCGACATTTAGCGACGGTAACGGCTCGACGAACGAAAAATACGTTTCGCGAAAACCACTCACGACCAGTGTGTCTCCCGCACAGATGCCATATGTTGCGCGAAATCCGCTATCGATTGTGCCCCATACGATAAACGAGCACCTTCTTTTAAGCGCGCGCGGAGAGAACGATATTACAATGGTTATGAACGACGATGTCGTGAAACGACGGTTGATAGTTATTTGCATGCACTTTTCTTTATGATGGACGAGAAAATCGCGAGAAATTATGTTATGCACGCGCGCGCGCGCACGCACGCACGCACGCACGCAACAGCATATACGGATCTCGCACGAAGAGATAATTTAGATGATAATTTCAGAATGCGGGATACTGGATATTTATCTAAATACATAACGTTGCACGTTACACGGTCTAGGAAAGCTCTTATAAATAAATCTTGTTTGACTGTCGCGAATATATGATTGTTGAGACAGGAACGCTTTAATCATACAGTATTTTTCTTATAATACTTTACATATCTTTCTATTTCTGGCGATGACAAAAAAAAAACGGAATAATTTATCACAAATGAAGACGAAGTTTTCTGATTTGAAATTTGTGACATTTTTGCATTAACGTCAGCAGTGAGACAAGTAAAACTGGTAAATGTAAAAACTGGTATATTTTTAATGAATCCTTTTTGTTATATCTTTCTATAAAAAAATGTCATGGCACATGAGGACGTTGTGGGGGAGCATGTAATAAGACTTGACGTAATTTTAATTATAATACTTAGCAGTCTGCGAAGTTTACGTTGCACTTTACATATTAACGGTAAGAATACCAATTTGCAGAATACATTCGAGATATACGTCATATTTCCAGTCCTATACAAAGTAATTATTACTCGCGTAATTACGCAGCTCTCTTCGATTGCGCGAGGCTGCCTTTCCATCTCTCAAGCATTTATTTCGTTTAATTCACTCGCGTAATGAAGGCTCCAGGAATAAACCGGGAAAAAGTTGGGGAAAAATATGCAGACCATAGCGAACATAAGATAATAACGGTCGGGAACAAAGTTAAGCTTTATGCCAGTTAAATCTGTTCGAATCGTAATGTCTCCTGTCGCGAGGTCGCGGTCGTCTGCATTTTTTTTCTTTTTTATGTATAGATTACTCGATGAATCTAGAGGCGATTTCCTGTAGAAAGTACGACGGAACTGTGTTCAGCCTCTGTCAGCGAATTAATTTCTATGTTAATTATGATAAACTCCACTATGTTTCTTCATACTTATTTAATCTGGTTGGATTGAGTAATAAATTAAAAATTTTAAATTGACTCGAAATCAAGAAGAAAAATAAGTATATCAGGGAAAGGAGGCGCGATTGGTCTCGCACTCCTGGATTCCATGCAAAGTGCCTCCTGAATCGCGTTCACGACGAGCGCCGCGCGGACATTAAGTGCTCTCGACGCTTCGGTAATAACGTTCTAATTGCCGTTGTATTACTACCATTAACGCGCCTCACGCCGCGCCGTCACGCTGCGCGCAACGATTGCATAACGCGCGTCTGACGTAACGGCGTAGCGGTGACGTAACGTAAATGCGAGCGCGAACGGTGTGCTCACTCGAGCGCGTTACTCGTCATCGGAGGAAGAGGAGTGATCGCGAGACAAGGCGAAAATTGACATTTTATCCCCCCACCCCCCCCCCCTCCTCTCTTGGAATCTACATAATATACATAATATACATAATATCCTTAAGAGCGCTATCATTATTACGAAATATTATAAATGCACTCTTCAATGAGGGGCTACTTCGAATCGGTGGCAAAAACGACGAAATACAAACTTACGTAACTTTGCGCGCGAGAAATTCTCATAGAACCATTTCCAAGTTTTAAAGTCTAAACATCCTGCTTTCAAACTCGGTCGAGTTTTCTCCTCGGCGATTTTCTTCCGCTTGAAAATTCTTGCACCCATTTTCAAATCAGCCGTGCAAAATTGATAAAAAAAGACTTCCATTCCGAGATTATGCACGGAGTTACATAAAGCAGAAAATTGTTCTAATCTTAAAGTTGAAGCCGTCAATTTCGTCTTTGGAAATGACGTCATTTATACAATTATAGTTATCCATTTGCGCGTCATATAAGATTTAGTTAATATGTACGTAGGCGACAAAACAAATTATATATTAATTAGTTACAATTCTTCGACTATTTATAACTCGAGAAGCCAGACGGTGATGTAATTAACGTTCTTCAATGTCACATTTTGATTGGCGCTCTAACGCGCTAGAAATTATCGAGAGACATTCAATTATAGATTCGATAACAAAAGGGTATTAAATATTCCGATACTAATTTCTGTTTCATCGGATCTAATTTCTCGGCAGACACCGCTTTTACGAGCGTGAATAAAACGTTCTGATGTATTGGTTATTGATCGTAAATAGAATAATATAACGCTTCTGCGGTCCCTTTAATCAGATTTGATATTTCAAGTTTCAGCGTATATTTTATTCGTGACTGTTGTGCTCATTATTTTCGTCGCGCTGTGATCGTTTTAATATGTGAGATAAAAACAAAGTCAATAAGATAGAATCAGCTTTTATCTCTTTAAATATATAACAGTATCTACATTATACGATGGCCGAAGGTATATCCGAGTATTTTTCCTTATATTTTTGTAAAATAAAATAATTAAAGTTTTATTTATATTAGACTTACCAATTATATTTTAAAATTATAAGTGAAATACGTGATAATTAAAGCGTAGCACAGAATCTGTTTTTTTAGACGGGGAACGAAATCTCGTGCGCTCAGCTTTCCGTGAAGTTTTTATCCCCTTTGTTATCTCTTATCAAATTGCGCGGGTTCTTTTTCCTTCGTTATTTTTCCTTCCAAAATCGCGGACAGCTTCTCGAGCGGAGGAGAACAGTCCGCTCTTCTTAATCAAGTTCCACGGACGAAGCTTCAACCTCGGTCTTTTTTGCTCGTCTTTGCAGCAGGACTGGGAGCTGACTAAGGGCGCGATGCCCTGGGGAAACGCCGTTAGGAGATGGGCCGAGATGCAGGACGGCCAGAGAATCTTGCTGACTACGCCCAGTGTCCTGGTCGGCTTCAGAGTCGAAGTTTATCGGGCGGAAGGCACCACGCAATGGTACACAGCCGTAATCGTCGGTTACAACGAATCCACCAAAGTGAGTTCAGCTATATAATAAATATTACAGAGACGCGTCATTATCAATAGATTGGAATTTGTTTTGCAGCAATTATTAAGGGATTCTACTCTGGTTATTTGTTCTTCAGTTTTATTTTAAATTTATCAACTTTTATCAAGATTTAATACGGATCATATATGCGAATTAACATTTTCGAAGGAAAGCGATTTGCGGTGTCAGAAATATCGCTTAAATGATTTGAAAATTACAAGTTATTTCGATTCAGTTTCAATATAATATCTGTTTTAACGTCGTAAATTTCCACTTCCTTTCGATGAATCAGAATCGAGGGAAATTATAAGATAGGAAATTATTTGATATCATTCTACAATTAGATCGCATGCGTTTTGTTATTAAGCTGATTTTAAATTAATAATAAACCCAGATTAAAAAAAAAGTTTTAATGTTAATGGTACCTTTGCAAGATGACATATTTATTAGTTATTAAGCACTCAGTCATCATTAGAATTATATCGTCCTGAACATTTATTATGGCTATTTCAGTGAACTTTTGAATTTTATATATCTGCAATGGAAATTTATAGAGGATTAAATAATATATAACACACATATACATAATTTAAATTAAGACATTCTACATTTTCTTAAACTGTACTAATAAATTGATTATATATATATTCCATCTTAACTTCTTTATTATTATTATAATATAGCTATATCTTGACTTTATTTTTATTTCCTAATATCTATTTTATTAATTAAATATTTTGAAGTTAATCTTGATATGCGATCTTTTTATAATTCTTTCCGTCTGTATATTTGTTAAAATATTTTATTACGGAGCCGTAAATTTGTGCTGATTTGTCGTAACACTACAGAAAGATAATGCATCTTGAAGTGGCTTAAACGAGCCAATTTTCTTTCTCCGGCCGATATTCCCATCGTTTTTGTCGTTAAACATCCTAAAGTAGAGAAACGAACGACAGACTCGCGTCGTCGTCGCGAAAGTAATCCTCCTCGTCTTGTCTCTCGGCGAGAAAGCTTCCGATAATTTATCCTGGCACTGGCGCGCGGCATTCCTATTGGAAAACTAAATCCCTGAAATAGTCCGCGACGAGAGAACGTTCCGGAAAAGGCGCGGAGATCGAAGGGCGAAGGAACATAAAATATCGGTTGAGTTGTCTGAGGGAGCTTTTGTCGCGCTCGTGCGCTTTTTCTTTTTCTGTCTCTTTATTCCCTTCGTATATACGTCTGTCTCGAATATTTCTCGAAAGTATCGGCAGAATCGAATCGATTGCCTGTTGAAGTTTATTCGAATATTTCTCGTTATAATGTTGTCTTTCAAAGAACTGTAATGAAATATCGCGAGACGATGACGAAGAGTCATCAAAATGTATGAGAGACGTACATTGTATTTCATTATGTAAATTGAATTAATGTGAATGTAAAAGCGCGAGCTTATTTGTTCGTTTCCTTACGTATCGAGAAAATGTTTTTACGTCGTCAGTGTTCTTCCGTGTTGTAACTTTAAAGAAATTTTTCCAGACTTCCTTGCAGACATATCTCTTTTAATTACTATCAATTATATTATAATTGCATCTTGTTGTGGTCTCAATCAGAGAAGTCTTTTTCATGGTAAAGTTTGAATTTCATATGAATTTATGAAAATTTCTTGAACGACAGTTAAAGTGTCGATACTGTCAATACTCGAGATAATAAAGAACAGAATTCGCTGGAAATCGCATCGATAGAAATCTACGCGTATTGCATCATCGCGATTCCACATCGTCTCGCGCGTGTCTCGCAACCGGCAGACGACTCTCTGTCTCGCCGCTGATCAGTTAAGCGTATTGACAAGGAGAAGCGTTGATCGTGACGGATCTTAACGAGAAGCCAGACCATCAATCGGTCGATCTTTGACTCGCGAATTGGCAGATAAAACATTCCGCGGTCGGTCGGACGACTCACGAAATTTTTCGGAAGAATTGAAATCGATTACCGCCCATTATGCAATAAATTTTTCGAAATCGCGAATGATATCGTTCGCAAAACTCGAAATCGACGAACCTGAGAAATAATTGAGCGTATTTCGACCCCGTATTGCTGCCATTATCAAATATTTATGGCGAGTTAATGGCGAAGAATATGACTGGAAAGAAAGTCGTTAAAAACGCTTTATGGATTTGCCCGGGATGATTTAGAAGTTTTAACAATGTTTCTTTCTAATGGCCTAATTATTATATGATCGTCCTTTCAGGATTTGACTGTCACCGACGATACGGTCCTCGAAGATCACAACGAGGATCCCACATTAGTACAAATGCGGCTGATTGGCGATGGAGGTGAGAAACATTAACACGAGACATATATTTAATCAATAACACCTCAATTAAATTTTTCTATCAAAAAATTTCCAATAAAGCGTAGCTCAGTTTTACATGAAAGCAATGATATTTTATTACAACTATTGAAAAATGCTGTTTAACATTATTTTAAAGACTATAGAAACGTACTAAATAGTTATTATTTGAAAATATTGCATTTATTAAATATTATTTTTAATATCTTCGAACGCAGTATTCAATGTTGCCTAATATATCAAATTATTGTTATGTAGATAACGATATTGCTTCCCTTTTTCAAATTGTGTCAATATATATTTAATTATAACTTTATAAGTAATGTCATAGAATAAACAGAATAATTGTGAAGCGTACTGAAAGTGTTTTTGCTTTTTTTCCTTCTCTTATGCAGTCGTCGAGAGCATCATGAGGGGCGAGGTCGTCGGCATGACACCAAGGAGGTCGAGGTCATCGACTGCTCTGACGCACGCGCTCGTTGTGGTGAGTGAAATCCAATTTCGTTCTATTATTAAACGCTCTGCATAGTTTACGATCGGCAAGTATCGTAAACAGTAGGTGTATCGACGCGCTTTTATATTCCGCATATAATACCTCATGTACATAATGTATTTAAGTCATTATAACGAAATTGACTTAACCTACGTTTCCCAACCTATTTTTCACATTATTTAAAATTACTTTATGGCCTCACTTGTTTTCGCGCAGTCGATGAATGCGCGATATTTTATAAGTTCGCAGATTTTAATTTAGAAAAAGGTATTTTACTCTAAATTCGTTTATGTATTTTTTTTTATACATCTGTAAAGATAAGACAGAAAAATCACGCGCTCAATAATGCCACACACGGTATTTCATTTCGACAGATAAAACAGCACGTTTATTTCGAATTATTTCAAAATTTTACAAATTTTCCTCTTCAATCTCACTCTCTAAAACGTGCTCTTTGTCGTTCGGATTAACGCATTGGTCTAAACGCTTCAAAAAAAAAAAAAAAAAAAAAAAGAGAGAGAAAGAAAAAAGAGATGTTGTGCTAACGCATGCACTTTACTGCGTCCAGTGTTTATCGCGGCGCCGCTGAGCTGGCGCTAATCTAAATTTCTGCAACGCCGCGGTATGTAACTAGTAGATGATGTTTTGCAAGGCATTTATCGGGCGAAATGACTCGTGCGACCGAGAGTCACGAATTAAGGCACGATAATCTCGCGCGCGCGAGTGGCAAACATCTTCCTCGCGCGTGACGATATAACGCTTGCGGCCGTCGCATGGTAAACCGTAATTGGAATCGAGCCGATGTGCCATTCCGAAAGGAAACCGCCGCCGGTAATCGCGCCTCGGTATGCTTTCGCAACGCGTACCGTATCGTCGTATTGCGCTCGCGTTATGCACGTTGTCGATGTGCGAACGCTCGAGACGAGCACCCTCTGTGATCGTTCACTCTCGTCGCTCGTCAGATTTGTCGAGTACGCATGCACGAAGATTCAATTGACGGGATAGAAGATTCCACCGCGATTTAGATCGCGATACATTTAACCAGATGTTTCCATTAAATTTTCATACGTTTAATAATTTATCGGTATTGTTGGGAGATGTATGCTCGCGAGAGAGTATCGCTATCGTTGTCTGCGGAGCCGTTATCAGCGGTTTATTGTGTTACCTGAGCTTATAGATAAGCGGTGGTACGGAAAATAGGACATCGATTATCGATTGCGCAGATATCTTAAACGAAACCCGGTGACATTACGTCGATGTTATATATTGTGCGCCAAGATAACAATTGCCCGGATACTTCTGTTATGAAGTATAACTGGAAATTTCGGTCTGATGCATCCCCAGAATTGGCCATACAGTGGCTGTATGATTTGGGCTTATAAATGTGAGAGAAAACAAAACATTTTTGGAAGCACTTTAAAACTCAAGAATTATTTATCAAAAAACACGAAAATGCATTCGAAAAGCTTTGTAACTGAAGCTTTATGATTCCATATTATATCTTTTTCTGGAGCTCTATTTCTTCTTTTTTATAATAAAGAAAAGAAGATAAATTATTATCTATAGAAGGAACAAGTTAATATTAATAGTTAATTTTACACATTGGTATGTAATTAATTTTATAATTAAAAATATACAAGTGGCCTTCTTTTTAAATAGCTTGTATAAAATGCAAATGATTATGTCAAAAAAGTATAACAGAAAGTATCGAGGAAACTGTTGCCGGGTCTCGCACCTAGATTTTTGGTGTGTATAAAGCCTACGCGTACCGAGCGTTTCCCTTTAATGCGGGAAATCAATAGAGTCGAGCTTGCAGCACCCTCGGGCTTTCAGGAATCGGGAAGCCCGGAATAGAGTCCGTTGCTACCTTAGCGGCCGACTTCCGTTCGTCGTGTACGCGAATGCCCCACCTTCCTATTCCTCTGTCGCGCTCTCTCTCTCTCTCTCTCTCTCTCTCTCTCTCTCTCTCTCTCTCTCTCTCTCCTTCTCGGGGAGGACGGCAAGAGGCGGTCGTCCCGCGATCGTCAGAGAACGAGGTGGCAACGCCTCGGTGCCGCGTTCACGCCGGCCGATTCTGCTTCCGGCTGTACGATCGCACCCGAGCTACGCGGTCGGCCGCGGTCGCGACTCGCAGCAGCGCGACTCATTGTCGCCGCACAGCAATCCCATCCTCGTCGCTCGCGCGTCTATCCGGCTCCCGCACCTCGGACGTTCCGCGAACGCGCTCTTTCGACGAACTGCGCGACTCCTCCGAATACTCCGATCCCTGCGCCCGCGCCTCCCCAGTCCCCCCCAGCCTGCACCACGATCGCGCACCGTCTTGGGAGATGCGAACGCGCCCGGAGCAAAATTAATTATATCTAAAGCAGAATTTCTAATTATACGATTCCCGATTGCCCTTAGTCTAATTAATCTATTTTTATTTATTATTAATACCATGTATGGTTTTTCTTCTTTTTTTTTTTTTAATGTAGATTTGACGTAAGAAAAGGATGTTTTCATGTGGACACGCACATGCGCTCGCCAATCAGAAATTGATTTATTAATGAATGCTCCGCTTTTTAACGTTGGTGCAGCCCTCTCGTTGCGCTTGTCACTCGTGGTTCCCCC